AGTTAAGAATCACTTGAGCCAGTGACACATACACGAGTCCATGGGACCAGGTAGGATGCGTCCAAGGGTGCTGAAGGAGCTGGGCAATGTCATTGCAAAGCTGCTCTGTATCATCCTCAAAAGCCGTGGGAGCTGGGGGAGGTTCCCAGGGACTGGAAGAAGGCAAACATTACACGTGTCCTCAAGAAGGACAGGAAGGAGGATCCAGGTAAGTACAGGCCAGGCAGCATAACCTCAGTCCCTGTGGAGGTTGTGAAGCAAATCCTCAACCCACAAAAGACAAGAAGGTGATTTGGAGCAGCCAGCATGGATTTGCCAAGGGTAAGTCAAATCCGATGGACCTCATTGCTTTCACTGACGAAATGACTGGCACTGTGGGCAAAGGGATATAGTATACACCTTGATTATGGCAAGGCCTTGGCCCTGGTTGCTTCATCACCAGATTGTTGAGGTATGGGCTGGACAGTGGGCTGACAGTCTAGGAAGCAGCTGTGGAGGTCGTGGTGGGCACCCAGTTGAACGTGAGTCCACAGCAATGCTTGCAGCGAGCGAGTCGTGGCAGCAGGGAATGGTAGGGGCGTCCAGAGCTGCATGAGGGAATGTGTAGGCAGCAGGTCTGGGGAAGTGATCTTGCCATTCTGTTTGGTGCTTGTGAGACTGTATCAGGAGTGCTGTGCCCAGTCTGGGGCTCCCTGTGCAAGAAAGAGACTGAGACAATGGAACAAGCCCAGTGCAGTGCCACCGAGATGGGTGGGGGGCTGGTTACAGTATACCATGACTCTGGTCTACTAGTTGGATGAGAAGTTTTAGGTGCTATATATAGTTAGGACTTGCAGCGTTAAAACACCCAAGTGGTGTTACTGGAAACCACTCTGAAAGTCATCACCCTGATTAATTAAAATGGTGTTAACTACTTTCTGGCTTTATTGAAGTGGACTTGCTTATCCCTTTCTTTTGTGTGTGTGTATGTGTGTCTGCGTGCATGCTAAACCGCAGAAGCAGGAATGAAATCCAGACTCCACTTTAAAGCTTGATCTCTGTTCCTGACTTTCTGCAGGTCTTTTTAATACATATGTGTTAAATTGCATCATATACCATGAATTAAAAATAAGAAATTATTTTGGTGTGAAGTCTTGGTATAATCCCCCCAAAAGGAAAAGCTTTTCCCTTTTTTGCATTTCATAGTCAGTTTTAGGTTCTCATTTGTTACAAAGGTTCTGGATGTTACCAGGAAATAAATTATCTTTAAAATCTTGCTAAGAATGCTAACAGCTTTGGTGCTGATTCTGAGGGCTCACAGAACATTGTAATTACATAAACAAATCTCTATGGCAACCTCTTTTAGGAAGAAATGCTGTTAGGTACTAGAGTTTCGTGGTTGAAGGAGCAAATGCAGAAAGCCATTCAGTTTCTGTGAGGAACTGGGGAAGGATGATGACAGTTGACAGAGTGTAGCCAGGAAGACCATGGCTAAAACGTTCACCCTTCTGATAAGGAGTAATACTAGCACCTTAGCTACTGCCCATCACTAGCTCTTCCAGCAGTGCAAGCCCTCCCAGTGCACTGCTGCTTTTCTACACAGAAGTATTGTTACTGAGCTACTGGTTCCTCTGAATAGCAGCATCGTATCCTGAATAACCAGCATCACTTTTTGCAGGTCTCCCATCAGAGTGTTAATATTGTTGATTTAATTTATCAGTTGAGAAAAGATGATTGTTTAAAAAACCAAAAGCAACAACAAACCCAAATGGGCAGGAGGGAGTAATGTTCACAGTCTGCCATTTTGTTAGGTAATGTTTGCCTCCAGTACTTCCTTTGATCAACTGGTTGCTAGAGCAACGCAATATGTGTAATCTGGCTGAGATGGAGATAATTTTCCCCACAGCAGCCCTCATAGTGCTGTGCTTTGTATTGGTAGTTCAAAAGGTGTTAACCCAGCAGTGTTTTGGCTTCCTCTGAGCGATGCTCACACAGCACCAAGGCTGTCTCTTAACATTCCCCCTTCACCAAGCAGGCTGGGGGTGGGCAACATCTTGGGAGGGGACATAGCCAGGACAGCTGATCCAAGATGACCAAAGGGATATTCCATACCATAAGATGTCGGCTCAGCAATAAAAGCTAAGAGAAGAGGGGGGAAGGGGCTTTTGCTATTAAAATATTTGCCATCCAGAGCAACTGCTAAGCCTACTGAAGGCCTGCTTCCTGTGAAGTAGTGGCTGGACATCACCTGCTGATGTGACGTAGAGAGTAAATCTTTTGTTTTCCTTTGCTTTTGCTTTATTAAAGTGCCTTTATCTTTAAAGTTTTTTTCCTCCTTACTTTCTCCCCACCTTGTCCTGCTGTGTAGGGGAGTGATTGGTGGGCACCTCATGTCTAATCAAGGTTAATCCATCACAGTACCTAAGGCAGGAAGGGAATGTTTCTGTACTATCTGGACATTAGTAATTCAGGCAGAAACGCCCAGAAAACCTGACTGCAGTGTTTTGCATCAAGCCAGTAAGTTTCT